GAAGCAAAAATTCAGCCCTGTTCGACACATTTTTTTTTTTGTGATTTTGTTTGTTTGTTGCTAAAGTCACCTTTGGCAGCTTTCTGATCTTCCCATAAAACACGAGGAGCCAATCTCGCAGATTTTTGGTGTGGCACAGGTTCTCTTTCAGAAGTCTTGAAATCGATACGGCAATAATTTCAAAGGTAACCTCCAGGTCTTCCAAGTCATTTTCATCAACAGCCGCCACATTTTCATACCAAGTGGCGGCTGTTGAAGAAAGTGGGGAATTAATAATTAATTAAATAATTGCGACAACCCTTATTGGAATTAATGACACGTCAATTTCAAGAACTCTGAAGGAGGAGCTGGGCTTCACCAAAAAATCATCTGCGAAACGCGATCCTCATCCTTTCCGAGTGAAGATCAGAAAGCTGCGAGAGTGAAATTACAAATAATACTGTATGTCAAACAGGGCAGAATTTCTTTTCTGGTGCCAAAGAATGCCAATTAATTCCAAGAATTGCATCCAGGTCTTCCGCGGTAATTCCGTCGTTTTCATCAACAGACGCCACATTCGCATCCCAAGTGGCGACTATCAAAGAGAAGTGGCGAAATGTATAATCGATTAATTGCGAAAACCCTTGGAATTAACGTTCATTATGTAGATATAATTTTTTATTTGCCTTTATTATTTTCCACGAGTGAATCGGATTATTCAAATAAAAGATAAAACCTCTCGTCCAGCAGCACTCACTTGCGGCCGTTGTTCACGCGAAGAGCAGGCTCCTCGTTTCTCTTGAGAACCAACAGACAAGGGACGCCACTTTCCAAACACGCCTGTTGCAGCGCTTCCAAATCCTTTCCCCACCCCCAAGAGAAATCCAACAGCATTACAGAAATTGCACACATACACAAGGACAAAACAAATTTTCTGTCTAAGATATGTTGTCAACAAAATCAAGTTGCTTAGTCACTTTAGTCACGTCGTAATGAATGTCCACGCGGGTCCCTTGGGCCCAGAGCCCACAGGCAACCTCGAGCATTTTCCGCGGCAGGCCGTCGTCGTCCGACGACCGGTTCGGCTGACTACCACTACTGCTGCTGATGCTGCTACCTCCAACCGCGCAGATCACGGCGTCCACACCAGCGGGCGCCACGCGCGGCGCCAGTGCCGGAAGCGGTCCAGCCATCGACAACAACT